CACCAAAAGAGACATGCAATAATATAGCAATTTTGAAATCAGACTGGTCAGCCTCAAGGCCCATAGCTGCTCCTTACAATGACAGGCCCAGTATGTCCCAATTTCCCTCCTTCTGGCAGCATGTCCCTTAGATAGCCGCACAGGATTTTGGCGTTGCGCAGATTCTGGTTACGGCGATGAGAATGCTCGGCTATTAATCAACTCAGAACCTGAGCTGCAATTAACAAGCGTCACTTGGCATGACAATGAGTGGCCATGCCTGATGAGGTTTTCAATGAGTAAAAAAGCCTCGAGACAGACAAATGATAAACGAGGAGCCGTGTCATTGTACCTGACGACAAGCAGACCATCATGTCGTAGCCCGGGGCTCCGATCCAAAACCCAATTGAACTTCCTGCTATCATCCCCAAATGGTCCCAGGCCTCGACTCGTGTGGGCCTGATTAGCGACCGCCGTTGATGATGCAATTCTTCAGCCGGGACCCTTGGCAGCAGGACGTATTCAGTAGTCGCCTGGATTCTGAAGCCTTACGTGCATTACAGTATGTTTGATTGTTACCTGGCCCATCCTAGGAAAGTGGCGCATTGACTGAGTGTCACCGAGTGTGAATTTGACATACCATTAAAAGTGGGTGGCTTGCTATGCAGCGCTGAGAGTCGCTTCTGATTGTGATGCACTGACCAGGCAGCTCAGGTAGCAGCCCTGATGCATGTGATGTGTCAGCATTGCTCTCATCCCTTAAAGTTTTCCGACCCGAGCGAGCAGTTGACTCTGTCGATGTGAGGACCTAGCCTAACTAACTGAATAACTTAACATGGTGTTACGTTAAGGTTTCAGGCTGATATTCATGTCATTCTATGTTTTGAATCCAGATTCATTCATTTGGTGTCACTGGTCCCGCTGCTGAGCCTAATACTGGTTACTCTCTAGGCCAGACTACCTTAAGTTGACGGCTTGTTTCAGGTTCATTCTGTGTTACTGTTACGAATTCAAAGTCATCCTTTCAGTAGCCCTGCAGCGTTGTCTGTACTCTAGGCCACAGTCACACTGACAAGCTTAATTGCGCGGAGGCCGTTTGCTGAGCAAACTTCTCCTGAACTCACAGATTCATTCATTCAGTAGTCCTGCAGCTTGGGCCCTGCCTCGTGGAGTGACCATGGGCGCAAAGCGGAAGTCAGGGGAGGGCAAGGCCGGGCCTGCCAATGCGAAGGCAGCCAAGCAAGGAGCAAATCTTGCCACCCTGGAAAAGTACAGCTATGTTCACAAGATCACGGCTTGGAAGCTTGTTCTGCAAAGTTCAACTGAATAACTTAACATGGTGTTAAGTTAAGGTTTCAGGCAAACATCACCTGGCGCATACTTGCCATGGACTGCTGTGGTCATGCCTCTTGTTAATCAACTGCACGTGCTGAGCATCAACATCAGTCCGTCTCCTCTGAGGCTGAAGGACACCGTGCTGCCCACCGGCTCCATCGACGCCTTCCTTAGCAACCAAATGGATACCGAGGCAAGGCAATTGTTGTAAACTCTCTGTCATGTGTCAGGGGTCATAGTTATCAGAATCATTCAGTCAGTTTAAACTAAGTCAGTACTGAGGACTTCGTGTCAAGATGGCATTGTTGCTCACTCTCTGTCTGCCAGGACAAAATGCTTGACTTCGCCCGGTGGATGGACAACTTCTGTCCTGCTGATGCTTTGCACCTCGACTTAAACACAAACGACATGTTTTTTTGCACCGCCTGTCACACTGTACCTGCAGGAAGGCCTACAGCATTGACAGCGCCGGCAGCTACTTGAGGCCCTTCCAGTTGGGATGGCGCTCAGATTTCGGAATTAGCGGAATGATGGAGCCGGAAACGGCCGAGCTCCTCCTGGAGCTCATACTCACAGAGGGGCTGCTGGACCCAGTATACTGGTAGTTAACCAATCAGTGTTACTGTTATTATGCGTACTTATATTCTTGATCTGGTCCGGGTTTTGCTTTGAATTGCGATCTAAGGTTCCTGACTGACCCCAACGTTGTCGGTGTCGAGAAGTTGGGCGTTACGATGCCTCCACCGGAGTACCTCGACGGTGGCATCACGGAATGCCCCGCCATCAGCCTGGGCAGTAACTTGGGAGCATAGCGCGAGTCATAGGTGATATCACGGGGCTGTGCATTTGATGTTCTGTTTCAGGTGCTTTGTTGCCACCCTTCAGTGTCGGGTACGTGAAAGGGTGGAAAAGAGCAGTGTGCTTGATCCTGGCACTCTATGGAATCAGAATGCTGGGATTGGAGGCAGAAGTGCCCCACCACATTCGTGCGGCCTGGTCTAAACTTTATATCAACACATGCTGTTATACGTAGCCTTTAGATATTAATTTTTAGAGTGAGATTTCAGATCACTTCCCGGCCTCAGGTGAGCATGGGCACCATCCACTGCTCCTTCGGAGCCTTTCAAGATGTGAAAGCCAAGGTTTTGGCTTCACGAGGTGGCTTGCATGAACAATTGGCGTCGACAGCAAGTCATAGAGCGATAAGTACCAGCGGGTTATTTGTTATTAAAATTGACAAGCTAGGAGTGACCCTCGCGTCTACATCAACGCGGCGACCCCCAAACTGCTTCCACTTCCTGCGTCAAGTTGTCATCTTACAAAGAGCTGGAGCAGGAGGAGCCGAACAGCAGTTTTCGGAGACTCAGAACGAGATAGCAACTTGAAGACGTTTGGCTTTATGTTCGATTCCTAAGACAGTCTTGTTATTGTCAGTTTCAGGATTGGCACTCCCAGACTGCCATTGCGAAGGCCTTCCATATAGGCCGGAATGAAGCCGGAGCTGTGCAGCAGCTCATCACGGCCGTGCCGGAGGATGTGAAAAATGCATTGGCAGCGGCAGTGAAGCGACGAGGCATGGTGAAGTTTGTGGGCCATGAAGCTTTGGCACGACAAATCTTCAGTGCCTCCTACACCAACACATCGCCGGGCATGGATGCATGGCGGGACCTCCTGACAAACGCCCCGGGCGATTCCAGGATTGTGACTAAACGCGAACATCTTGTTTGTAAAATTTGGGGTTGAGGGATGGGTCTTGAACTTAAGGTTTATGAATTTGATTTGTAGTCTACTATACTGGACAAGACACGTAGAATGAGATCATCGTGACCATAAACCATCATCATCGTCAGCTCACGCGCCCCCTCGATCATGGCTGGCTATCTCTATCTCTATCTCTATCTCTATCTCTATCTCGTTGTCTCTCGACGACACAAGGCATCTTTGTTGGTGGAGCGCCTCGTCAGCGACTTCGACCTCGCGCCCGAGCCCCTGCGTAAGGTGCCTTGAGATCTTAAAGGTTGCAACTGTAAGTGTGGCCGTCAAAATAATCATACTGAGAATCCAAGATTGGTTGCTGCAGTGGTGACCTTAACTTCCTCAGGCACCGACCTATAAGGAAACGGTGACAAAGCATGCTTGCTGTGCTGCCATGCTGCACTTCCTCGGCCTCTTGGAAGCCATGTGCCCCGGCAAAGAGTTTCCTGAATTGCGGCGGCAGCTCATGCATCAGTTCCATCACGGCTACTTGGACACGGACCTTGTCCACGTCCTTGAGAGCGCCGTGCCGCCAGCAGATCTGAAATCTGTTTCCGCCTTCAGGTGCACAGTTAATAAACAAGCAGCATAATGAACCATCTACCTGACAATTAACATTGACTGCCTGCTTTCCGCCCTCAGGGCGGTGGCGGTCCAGATCGAGACCCAAGCGCAGGCAGAGATGGATGCGACACAGGCAGAGCATGCGCGGCAAGTCCGCGAAGCCACCCTGGCCCAGATCACCGCCTTGGTCGAGTCTGACATGAAGGCATTGCGCCAGCGGACCCCAGACCATGTGCTCAAGGCCATCGCTACGGCAAAGGATTTGAAGTACGTCAAGGACCGGCAGACGCAGCTTGACACAAATCATTTCTGCCATTTGCAATAACAATAATGATTAATAAGGCTTTGTATTCTTATAGTCCGTGCCAAATTTGTTGCTTTGACTGTCTGTTACTGTTAATGTGGAACCGTAACCCCGAAGCATACAGCGTGTCACGTGGACTACGTTAGTTATGCTGTCAAGGCAAGGCGACAACTTTGTGCAAACGTGGATGGCCGAGTACTGCCACTGCGAGATGCTGGACGAGACGCTCAGCTGCAAAGGCAACAATGTCCTGCCCAACGTGCTCAAGTTCCTGGGCCAGTTCCGTGGCATTGCAGGCACGCAGCCGCTCGACGATTACTTATCCTGAGCCCTAAAGTAGTCAAAGTTTTGAAGCCCAACAGGTTTCATCATTACATTACAGACTCGGAGCCCGAGGTCCCAGAAACCACCTTCTTGGGACAATCACAATCACATGACAAGTAGTATCTTCAAGTTGGGACTATAAGTTATTAGTTCAGTTATTTAGTTAGAGCTCCTATTTTGGGTTTTTGGGTTACTTTAATGACTAATGAGTGACATATGACAGTATCTTCAGGTTGGGACTATAAGTTATCAGTTATTTAGTTAGCTCTCCTACTATTTGGGGTTTGTCTGTTGCTTATTGACATATGATGTAAGTAGACCAACTAACTTAACTCAGTGTCCTCAGGATTTATGGTTTAAGGCTCAAGGGTTCTGAGCCTTCGGAGTTTAGGGTTGCTGTTTTCTATCAAGCGGCCTCGATCCGGATGACCGCTTGCAATTCAGGTATGTGCTGTGCCTTTGCGATTACACGGTGCTGCCAGCGAATGTGGATTACGTGAGGGACTCTGTGGAGCTGCTGGCAAACTTGCTTGCCAGCAGCTCCAACAACCTGGGCCACTTGCAGCTTCCGCTGCCGCAGCGTTCGATGGCTTCCTCAACGAGCGTCAAGCACAGGCGGACCGTGGAGGATTTGTTGATGAAGGCGAAGATCAACGCGGACTCCGTGACAGCCCTGCTCTTCGAGAAGCCTGCCGACGCAAGTGCATCTGACAAGCGGTCCCTGACACAAACCTGCTTGACCTGCCTCTTCAGTGGTTTCGATGCAACAAGCTGGACCGCTTCGCGAGTTTTGCAAGAGTGCCGAATGGGACCCTTCCCGCTCCTGAAAGTCGCGGACTTCCTGGGCTACGAGAACTCGCGGCCTGGCCCTGCGGCGAGGGTAGAGCAGCATCTGGGCAACAGTGAGCCCGAATTTAAATGCTAAGTACCAAGTTCGTCAGACTTCGGGCATTTACACAGAGTTTGATTCTTAGTCTTTTCTACTACTGCTGTTAAATATGAAAGGTCCTTTTAAAGTAAGTGTGGGTTAACCATAAAAAAATATCCGTATATATCTGTAAGCATGGTAAGTTAAAGCTCCTATTGTCATTAGCAGGAGAACCATACTAAATAGGTTGTCAGGATTGGGGTCAGGTTTAACACGTATGTCATAGGTCAGGCTCAGGGTCGTGTGGGCGTTTCGGTCTTATAATTTCTTGAAAAGATAAGGTTTTTTTTTATTAGCGTCCCGTTCCAGTCAATGTGCGCCATCATAATCCCAGGAAGGGAGTGCCGCTGCATGAGGGCATCCTCGATGCTTTCATGGATGGCATGGGCTTCGGCGAAACGGACCGGCTGGTGATCGTGGACCTCTGCCCCAACAGGTTGGACTTGAAATGATATGTTGATTCCTTTCTTACACATCACATCAATGAAATTCGAAGGGTTGCTCCTGCAGGCAAGCCGAGTTTGCCCGCGCGGCCGTGAACAAGATGATTGAAACCGAGGGCAAGAGTTGCATGCGCTACGTCGGCCTCTTCCGCCCGGAGCATGCTGACGTGAAAGCCGACCTCAGCGGCAAGATCTACTCCTGGTGGGATAGCAGCAGCGCCGCCCCTGCAAAGAGGCGCACTCGAGATGATGTCGATTTGGACGCGGTGGCCGTGCCGCTGCAGATCCTTTCCCTCCAGGGCTCCAAGCCCGTATGGCCGTCTTCGCTTGAGGACAAGTTTCCGGCCGGCACCCCGGAGCATGCAAAGCTCCTGCTATTGAACCAGGAGTTTTTGAAGGAGTTCCCCAAGCCACGAGCTCTGAGCCAGGTGGGCCGACAGGCCTCTTCGGTCAGCCAGCTGACCCAGCGCCTGGCTGCGGAGTGCGACTACTCGCAGGATGGAGAGCCGCTGGACCTTGAGCGGTGCGTGGACCTCGCAACGGTCCCCGTGGCAGAGCTGAAGGAGACCGTGCTACCAGTCTGATGGCTAAGGAGTGAATCATTGATTGAAAATTGAACTGTTCTGAGCATGCAAGGCCGCAATGCCCGTAATTAGTATAGCCCAAATGTCAAAGCCCAGAAGCCTTCCATCCCGAATCCTAAAACCCTAAACCCCTGAACCGCTAAACCCTAACTTTGTAACATGAACCGTAACAGCAGCAACAGTAACAGTAACAAGAACTTAGCCCTAAATTCTAAAGAATATGTTTAGTCTGTGTCTGTGTCCTGCTGCTGATGGCACCTGAGGCTTGCCATGGTCACTGGGCGCCCCGGCAAGCCCAGCATCATGATCACGGCCGAGTACGGCTTGTGGATCGGCAACACCAGTGACTCCCCTTTGGATCTTTGCTGCTCTGAACTTTGTGGGTTTGGGATGGGCAGTTACTCGGACCGTCCTGTTCGCTCCTCATCTGAAATAGGACTTTCGATTCAAATCAACAGCCCCTTAGTCAGCCCGACGAGTAGTACCTAGCATTAGCAACCAGTTTTTAATGCGAGAGCCCTCTGATTCCAGGAAACGTGCTGGAGGAAAGCTCCGGGGTGCCCTGGCGATTGGGCAGCGACAAGGAGCTCATTGTCGTGAACAAGGCAACATTGCCACTATGCGAATTGCTGCGGCTGAAGGCCGCCCACGATTCAGATTCAATGATGATTGATGGTGATGATGATGATGAAGTAGGACTGGGCTGCTTCATCATGACATGAGGGAGGTTATTAAAAGCCTGACATGCGTTACTAGGCCACGGAGGAGGGCCTCGTGAATGTGGAGGTGGAGTCCCACGTGGTGCTGCCCAAGCCTCCGGCTGCTTGTTTGCTATGCTTTTCAATGCATTTAGAGGTGAGATTCAACATGAACTGTCATCCAAGACTGCTGCTGCGGCAGACGATGCTGAGACCCAGCTTGATGATGACGAAGCCCTATTTGGGTTCAGATATGATGTGGCCCCGACCGTGAGCTGCAAGACGAGTGTCTTCAAGCCAGCAGTGTTGAGCAAAGAGGAGACAGAGACAGTCCGTGCTGTCTCCCTCGCCGCTCTCTTCAGTGGTAACTATGACCGCTTGCCCCGCAACAAGATTGCCACTGTGGCTTGGGAGGCCGTGGTGCTGCAACCACTGAAAGGTTGTCGGGCATCCTCTGTGGAGTCAGTCGTGTCATTCAGCAGATTACTTTGGTTCAGCTGTCATTGTTTCTGTTGCAGGTGACCGTGAGCGGGACACCGCCCAAGATCATGCCGATCAAGCCGAAGATCTACTTGACCTGCAGCGTGCGACTGCCTCCGCAAAGTTGGTGCAAGGTCAGCTCCTGATCCTGAGATTTTCCGGACCCTGCAGCATCATCACCATCATGGTACACTAGTAGTAGTTGCAAGATTGGCACATTCGAACATTTCAAGCCGACTTGGTGCTTCTAAGCTCTCGATCATGAATGACATGTGAATGATGGTGATGCTGATGTGACTTCGAGCCTCCAGCCCTCTTGATGAGTTGGCCGTGCACAAGCACAGTAGACGTGAGAGTGGCGGGCGCAAGCTGGGAGTAGGGCCAATTTCAATTCATGTTCATTCAGATAATAGCTCTGCATAGCTCTGCGCTCCACGTCGTGTGCGCTGTCACATCAAGCCTGGAGGCCGCTTTTAACTTCTGAATTACTTTCGTTGTGAGTTGCACTTCGTGGGCTGATTATGATGTTACTTTAATTTCTCAATCCAAGCCCTATTATGATTTAGATGTGATTTCGGAGTCCGAATGTGTGCCCACTCCATGTGCAACATCGCATAGACATCGAGTCTGACGAGCTTGGCATCGTCTTGAACAGCCAGTCATCGCTGCTGATTCTCGCACTGAGTCTGAGTCCAGTCACTGAGAGGACAAGCTTGGAACCCATGGCTTGGTTTGTCAAATTGTTCTTTCAGGTCAAGCCAGGCCCTGCTTGTCGCAGGAGTAGGGGGCATGCCAGTTTTTAGCTCGGTGAACGAGCTGTCCGCAAGCTCCGATGAATGCGAGGCGGGTTCAAACTTCCTTGGAGTTGATTCTTACTGGAGCGGTTGTAAGTGTAACAAGGTTGTTATGCCAAACTTGTTGTTTATTATTGTTTCTTGCTATGCTGATTTCCAGGTGTCCTTTTTCAACTCCAAACAATAACAGTCCACGTCAGGAGAATGTTAAAGGAGAAGAAAAGGAAAGCTTAGCGGACCCTGAGGTTCCACTTCTGGACATGAGTTGCGATGAAGGGGAGGAGGAGGAAAAGGGCCTCTTTTGGCCTGATGAGGAAGACGAGGAGGAGGAAGAGGAACCAGCACCCAAAAAGAAACCCGCGATGAATGACAAGAACTTGAAACCTGATACCGGTGATGATGAGCCAAAGCCACCCCTGAAAAGACCGGCAACACATAAGAAGGAACAACACGAGGATGAAAATGCAGAGCTCCGCAACAAGAAGCAGCGACCTTCAGCCTTGAAGTCAAAGTCGAACATTGCACCTACCCCAGGTGTTTCAAAGGACGCTTCGGAACAGGATGAAAAGTTAAAGGAGGAGGACAAGCCTACCCCAGGTGTTTCAAAGGACGCTTCGGAGCAGGATGAAAAGTTAAAGGAGGAGGACAAGCAGGAGCATCCAGCATCCGAGCAGCAACCACCCTCAGCCTCACCCGTGAAAGCGAGGCTTAAAATCGCCCCAACCCAAGCTGTTAGGAAACAAGCTTCGAAGAAGGATGAACAGGAGGAGGAAGCCAAGCAGCCACGACGTCCAGCCATAAGGCCGACACGAGCCCCTAGCAAGACTGTTTCCACGGAAGGTTCCGTGCAGGATGATGATGTAAGGGAGGGAGCAGAGAAGAAAGCAAGGACAGATCCGGGACCGAAGCCGGATGTGGAGGAGCGGAGTCGTGTGTGTTCATTGCATGCGCGCTGTACGGATGCAATGCCCAATGTGCGATTCATTCCTGGAGTCTACTAATAGCCTGTAAAGTAGACAGTATTAAGTTCAAACCCTTAGCCTTGTTGATTAAGTTCAGCCAGGAGCCCATGCAGACCGAGGAGCAGAAAGAAGCAAAGACAACGACGGCCGAGGACGACGAGAATCGTAGGACGACCGCCTGAGGTTAGAAATTTACCCAACATTTGACAAGTGAAACCTGAGTGCTGTAAATACCAACCTTCCCCTATTCAACCTAGTACCTCGCTATTATTACTATTATTTAAATATTAGATAAGTCTACCTTATGCTATTATAGCTGTATAGCTCCTAAAGCGCCTTTAATAATAACCCGAAGGCCCTAATTAGCCCACTACCCTACGCCCTACGCCATCGGCCTCGCTGAGTTAAAGTCAGGAGCCCCAGAAGCCAAAGTTGAAGCACCAAAAAAAAAGCGATTCGGGTTCGAAGCAGGCTTGCCGGCTGACTGTCATCATGATGTCATACTTGATAACAGAATAACAACTCAACCTTACGCCCTACACCCTCGCTTAAAAGCCAAAGGAGCTGAAGAAGAAAGGAGCAGTCGCTTCGGATTCGGCTTCGGGTTCGAAGCAGGCTTGCCGGCTGACTGTACTCATGGCATTGCTTGACGTCAGTTTAACTTTAATTAAAACCCCACTACGCCCTACACCCTCGCTAAATTAATTCAGGAGCCCAAGAAGCCAAAGGAAGTGAAGAAGAAAGGAGGAATCGCTTCGGGTTCGAAGCAGGCTGGCCGGCTGACTGTCACTCATATAGTAAACCTTTGAACTTTCCAATCGAGGAGTCGAGGGAAGAATCAGAAGCTGCCGAGGAGTCGGAAGCGGAGGCCACTAGTCTCGCATGCGTGAATTTAATTTCTCATGTATTATTTTATTTTATAATGATGCCCTCACGCTACATGATTTACCACTCTTCGCAAACCTTAACCCCCGAAGCCAGGAGCATGACGATGTGCCGCCGAAGCAAGAACTGCCAAAGAGAAAGCCCAAGGCCAAAGCAAAATCCAAGTCACCGCGTCCGCCAGCGCAGGATTTGGATGGACGAGCCACTCCGCCCGCATGAAGCCATGATGCCCTGATGCTACATGATTTGACACTCTTCGAAAACTAAAACCCCCGAAGCCAGGAGCATGTCAATGTGCCGCCGAAGCAAGGGCAGCCAAAGAAGAAGGCCAAAGCAAAAGCCAAGACATCACCGCGTCCGCCAGCGGAGGAGTCGGAAGGAGCCACTCCGCATTCAGCCACTGCCACTCCGAGGCTGAAGGTGGAAAAAGAGAGTTATTACAAAAGCAATAACAGCTGGGGCATCAAAGTCAATGGAGCAGAGAAGATAAGAGCCACTCTATTTGCATCTAAGTTTCGATTTAAGGGTTGAATTTTTGAATTTTTGAAGGTATAAAATAAAATACCGTCATGCAGAATCGTAGCCCAGGTTGGCGGAGTGCTGTATCCGAAAGACCGGACGGAAGAGATTGCAGTGCCTTTGGTGGCAACTGGTAGCATTTCTCAAGCCTATCGAGCAGTGAGTGTCTGGGTGCCTGGACAGTCAGGTTGAAGCCGTGAGAAGGCTGAGACAAGGAGACAGGTTGGAAGACGTCAAGGCCATGTGTGCTGCGTGGCTGTAAACATCAGACACCACTCGATTTGATATTTGTTGTTGGTTCCGAGTTCTAAACCGTATAACAAGTTTATGATTAAATCAAGCCCAGAAAGCTAAAGTAACAGTAACGGTAACAGTACCAGGGCAACAGCAAACAAAAACCAATCATCGCCAACAACAGAACAGACAGCAGCAGCAGCAGCAGTAGCAGCAGCAACAGCAACAACAGCAACAACAGCAGCAACAGCAGCAACAACAACAAGAACGACGACAACAGCAACATCACCAGCAGCAGCAGCAACAACAACAACAACAAGAACAACAGCAGCAACAGTAAGTAGAACCACAGGACCACGACCACGAGCGCGACAACGACGACATCAGCAGCAACAGCTCAACTCTCCACTCAAGAACAACCTCCACCATGCATTTTAACTTGACCGCCACCAACTAGATAGGAACAAGAACAACAAGCCATCTCAAGATGAAACCCATCGTAACCGTGATTCCGTAGCATGCGGTCCTGCCAAGGCAGCAATGCAGAAGGCGTTGCTCCAGAAACAACTTGCCACGGCTGAGCAAGAGCGCAGCCACAACTTGGCAGACTCGAAGGATGAGGAAGATGCCGCGAAGGCACGAGATTCGCAAAAAACCGAGGACGACGATCAAAACGACAAGGAGTCAGTGTGTCCGGAGAGCGAGGTTGAGCCTTAAAGAGGCGAAAAGGATCGCAAAAGCTGCGAGCCTTAAAAAGGCGAAAAGGATCGCAAATCCTGCCTTAAAAAGGCGAAAAGGATCGCAAATCCTGCGCGAGTCTGGCTGCGTGCAAAACAGATAGGACTGAGAGTGCTCGCAAGTTCTGCACTGAGTGTGCGCATGTCTCCTTTTCTTAGCGGCTACCCGTTGAATCATCCAAAGCCTTTAAGCGGCCACTTATTATGACTTTACTTTGTGCCGAGATGTACATACGTCGTACATGTATTTATACACACATGCTCTCGCCCGGAGGTTCCTTCTTTCGCATCTTTCGCCCGCCTGAGCCGGGGAGCGGCGTAGCCGTGCCCTGTGTTGCCGGGGTTCCTTCCTTTCTGCCTGTCTGGCCGGGGGGCGGCTTGGCCGCATCCTGCGCTGCCGAGGCTTTCTTCTCTCGGGGGGTTTTTATTCCACATACTATTTATAATACATGTGTAGAGAAACATAATATTGATTTGTTTATTTTTTGACAACACTCAGTTTGACGATCGTGTGGCCCAATGTGCCAAAGCTAGTCTTGCAGTCACTTGCGACAACAGTCAGTTTGACGATCGTGTCATTTTTTGGCCACAATGATTGTAAGGGATGGGGTAAATTGGTAGCGGAGCCTAACAATAACCATTGGTAGGGGAGCCCAAAACAAGCCATATATCAGAGCAGGCGTACCAACCAAAACCCAGGAACACCAGTTATGCTGGGAACACCAGTTACTGAGAAAAGTTCTTTAAGGCGACCGAGGCCTGGACGGTTGGAATTGGAAGGCTGGAAGGGTTGGAGGGTCGCTTGCGGAGCAGGCTCAGGGAGAGAAACGCCCAGAGCATTGTCTGCCGGCACGCTGTGCTGTTCAGACAACAGGAGCGCTGGGGGGTCGGCGTTTGCCGCGAGCCCTGCGTCAGCACGTCCTGGCTTACTTGTTGCAGGCGGCTGCAGCGACAGTGCCGCGGTGGGAGGGTCAG